CTATAGACTAGACTATAGACTAGACTATAGACTAGACTATAGACTAGACTATAGACTAGACTATAGACTAGACTATAGACTAGACTATAGACTAGACTATATATAGCTATAGAACGAGACGATTAGATAGGGACTATAGACTTAGACTATAGACTATACATAGCCTAGACTATAGACTAGATATAGACTAGACTATAGACTAGACTATAGACTAGGGATATAGACTAGACTAAGACTAGACTATAGACTAGCACTATAGACTAGACTATAGACTAGACTATAGACTAGACTATAGACTAGACTATAGACTAGACGATAGATAGACTATAGACTAGAATAGACTAGGCACTATAGACTGACTATAGACTAGACTATAGACTAGACTATTAGACTCGGACTCATACTAGACTATAGACTATCGGAACTAGGACTATAGACTAGACTATAGAACTAGACTATAGACTAGACTATTAGACTAGAACTATCGACTAGACTATAGACTAGACTATAGACTAAGCACTATTGACTAGACTATAGACTAGACTATAGACTAGACTATAGACTAGACTATAGACTAGACTATTAGACTAGACTCTAGACTAGACTATAGACTAGACTAGAGGACTAGACTATAGACTAGACTATAGACTAGTCTATAGACTAAATTAAACTGTAAACTTTAGTTTAGCTCACGCCATATTCTCCGAAAAGTATATGATATCAGGTGTTGGAAAAATCATTGTTATTACCTGTTTAAATTACTCTTTTTACGGAAACAATATTTGTTTTCCCACTAAATTTATTTCGAAAAATATTTACATCATACAAAACTTTCTATTTAACCAAATACCGCCATAAAATGTTTTTTGTCTGACTTTAAAAGTGAGAAGGTAATAAAATGGAAGTGAATTTTTTCTTTAAAAAATCATCAGTTTTGCATAATAAATGCAGCACCTCCTTATAGCGGTAGTTGCTCTAGCAAAACAAGTAATAATAGTAGTTTCTTTTGTAATGATGGTAGTAAAAAAAGTTATTGAACTTATTTTTGGTTAGTTTGCTAAAGTACAAAAATAAAATAACTTTACTGGTAAGGATGCTACCAGAAGACATGCAGATTTTTACAAGAATACATGCCATAAAATTTAAGCGTTAGATAAATATTAAATCTTTTCTACACTATTGTTATTTTTATTGACGTTTTTTGGTAATTTTGTAAAATAGTTTTTCTTCAAAATTCTTATCAAACATTTAGTATTTTATTTAATTCATCATAAGTTACTCTTACTTTATATAGAGTTTGGATGAGTTAGTAAAATTAATATTATGAACAAATATTCTGAAAATTTGTAAAATTTTTGAGTTTGGAAAATGTTCATGGTTTTGTTTCTTACCTTACTTTCTTAAGTCATCGAATATATTTTTAATTTTTGAAAACAAACTAATTGTACACAATTGCTTTTAGCAACAAATCAAAGTGAAATTCTTTAATTTCTATCTAACACTTAATTCTATATAACCTTTTTGAGATGCCCTTAAGAAAATACCCTTGAGTTTATAACCCACTTACCCATAATTTAATTTTAACCTTTCTAAACAGACTGTACAAACCCAATACCCATCAATTTTAAACTTTCAATCCTGTTAACATTTTCTAAAAATCAGAAAAAAAGGTCAAATTTAGCTACACACACACAAGCAGACGTGTTTAAAACAGAAAATATTTTAAGAACTTCCTTCAATCCCTTGTCTGGGTATCTGTTAGGGTGATCGATTATTCGACATTTTCCAAAAACCGGTTTTCGAATAGTTCGAATAGTTGACATTTAAAAAAACCGGTTGATATTTTTCAAATTCAGAAAAAACCGGTTAACCGGTTTTTCATTACAATTAAAAAAAATATATTTTAATTTGAAAAACTTAATGTTTATTTTTAAATTTGATTAATAAAACATGGCCCGAAATGATTTTTAACAGTTTAAAAGATTATAACTTTAGATCTAGTCGTCTGATTTACATTATTTATTTTATATGAAAAAATTAGGAAAAAAGTGGGACACTTCTGTTAAACATAAGGTACTATGTAATCCTAGCTTATTTTAAAAGCCCTGTTTAGGAAATTTGCATAGGCATTCCAACACTTCCATAAAATTTCAGCCGAAAATTAATTATTGTAATTGGAATATAATCTTAAGATTGCTAAATTTTATCAAACAGTTATCCATTTTACAAAGATCTGTAGAAAAATATACTCTAGTTCCTCGACTCGAATATTTTTAAAATTTAGACGGGCTGTATTATTATTTACTTAAAAATTTCATTTAAATAATCTTTGAATACAAAGCAAATAAAAGTATTCGAAACCGGGTTTTAAAAAGTGAAAAAACCGGGTTATTCGATATTCGAAAAATCAACATTAAGAAAAAACCGACATTGGTAAAGCAGAAAAAACCGGTTTTAAAACCGGTTGGAAAATCGAGTCGATCACACTAGTATCTGTGTATATGGCAAAACAATAAGCAACATCTTTTGTTTTCTTTTTAAGTCCTACAGAGATTTGAACCTCTTTTTTTAATTTTCTTTTTCTGATTTTCTTTTGCACTCTAGCCGAGGGGTTAAAGCGCATCTGGCATTGTGTCGCATTTAATCAGAACCCATTCATAAAGTCTGTGTAAAATATATAACATACAATACGTAAAAAAAACAATAATCATCAATAGATTTTCATTCGTATGTCTTTTCTTTTATTTTGTATTTTGAGTTGTTGAGATACGCAAAAAATGGCAACTGTTTGTTTCATAATGACAAATTCCTTTTAACAGCTCAATGTTGTAGGAAAAACCGAAAATCCTATGTGTTTCATTGGAATAAAGAAAGTGTTGCGCAAATAGAAAATCATAGAATTTTATTATTGATTACAAAACGACTGCCATGTTGAAAAAAGAACAATACGGGTTTAAATTATATAAGAATATTGTTTATCTAACTATATACTTACAAACATGTGTACATAAGTATGTATTAAATAGGCATAATTGCCTATGTTTGTATATGTATCTGAAAGTGTGTAGATTGATGTTAATGTATTTGTTATGCTAGTATTTTACAGATATAATGTTTATTCACATGAAACGCACTTGCTTATAAAAGACATCGTTACGTATGATTAATATTAATTTCATATGACTTTTTTTATAAAACAATAGTATGCGTATGTCTTATGTTAACAAAAAGATATAGCAACAGACAAAGAGATAATTAATATACTAACGGTTAATTAATAAATGGAAACGTGTATGTGGCTTTATATATTGTTTTAGTTTTAGGAAGAAATCTTTTAATAATATTTTCGATAAACATGGTTTTTGGATGACTAGACTATGACTAGACTATGACTAGACTATGACTAACTATGACTAGACTATGACTAGACTATGACTAGACTATGACTAGACTATGACTAGACTTGACTAGACTATGACTAGACTATGACTAGACTATGACTAGACTATGACTAGACTAGACTAGGACTATGACTAGACTATGACTAGACTAGACTAGACTATGACTAGGGACATGACTAGACTATGGACTAGACTATGACTAGACTATGACTAGGACTATGACTAGACTATGACTAGGACTATGACTAGACTATGACTAGACTATGACTAGACTATGACTAGACTATGACTAGACTATGACTAGACTATGACTAGACTATGACTAGACTATGACTAGGACTATGGACTAGACTATGACTAGACTATGACTAGACATGACTAGACTATGACTAGACTATGACTAGACTATGACTAGACTATGACTAGACTATGACTAGACTATGACTAGACTACGACTAGACTATGACTAGACTATGACTAGACTATGACTAGACTATGACTAGACTATGACTAGACTATGACTAGACTATGACTAGACTATGACTAGACTATGACTAGACTATGACTAGACTATGATGACTATGACTAGACTATGACTAGACTATGACTAGACTATGACTAGACTATGACTAGACTATGACTAGACTATGACTAGACTATGACTAGACTATGACTAGACTATGACTAGACTATGACTAGACTATGACTAGACTATGACTAGACTATGACTAGACTATGACTAGACTATGACTAGACTATGACTAGACTATGACTAGACTATGACTAGACTATGACTAGACTATGACTAGACTATGACTAGACTATGACTAGACTATGACTAGACTATGACTAGACTATGACTAGACTATGACTAGACTATGACTAGACTATGACTAGACTATGACTAGACTATGACTAGACTATGCTAGACTATGACTAGACTATGATAGACTATGACTAGACTATGACTAGACTATGACTAGGACTATGACTAGACTATGACTAGACTATGACTAGACTATGACTAGACTATGACTAGCACTATGACTAGACTATGACTAGACTATGACTAGACTATGACTAGACTATGACTAGACTATGACTAGACTATGACTAGACTATGACTAGACTATGACTAGACTATGACTAGACTATGACTAGACTATGACTAGACTATGACTAGATTATACACTAGACTTTGACCAAAATAACACCCACTTAAATTTAATAATCATATTTTGATGAAAAATTAATTTTCTCTAATTAAAATTACTTATAAATATTACATCCTATCATGAAGCTCAAACTGTAATTAATAAAAGAAATTACTTAATTTATTTTGTCAAATTGAAATGCTAACTATCCACTCAGTTTCAAAGATTTTAAGTGAATTTCATTTTTTTAGAATATATTAACTAAAGTAATACAGTACATTTTCTTTATGAAAAATATTTAGTAATTTCTTAATTTAAAACTTTTTCTATTATTTACTCTCGCTAGCCTTTCCATTACTTATTACTACTTAGCATCTAAATAGACAATGTAACAAATTTTTCTTTTAATATTTTACGTATTTTCATTTGTTTTATCTAATTCCAGGAATCTAGCAATTTTCTACCATCATACGAAGCAATTTCCTTTGCTGTTAAAAGTATAGCAACTAAACTTAATTGGACAAAAGTTGACATCTACATTGGCGGTAAGTTGAATTTCATTCATTATTTTCATACCATAACCTTACTTACTTACAACTTACACTTGTTATTATCATGTTGTCATATTGTTGTGAGTGGTTTAAAAACAGAAAGTGGGATAAAGTGGGATGAAGAATCAAAAACATGGGCATAGATATATAAGTACGAAAACAGATTCACCCACAAATAACAAACAATCTTGTTTTTGGGCAATTTTTTGTTTACGCTTTTATGCCTCTTTTATATTTTCTCTGTAATTGTATTATTTTGATATTATTTTTTTTGTATTTTCCTCGTTACTGCTGCTGTTGTTACAATAAGTGTTTCAAGGCCATAAAAACAGAATGAAGAACTAAAGGGAAATAATAATGATGAAAATAAACTTAAAACAAAACATCGGAAGAATGAGAGAGAGAGAGAGAGAAAGAAATTTACATTTAAATTTAATGTTAATGTTGGCATTATTTAAACAAACAAAAATTCTTTGCAAATTGTTGGCTAAAGGTGTTAAATGTTTGAATATTGCTTTTTGTCTTTTTATCTATTTTGAGGATTTTAAAATTAAAGAGGGTATGGACGGACTATAAGTAATTTTTGTTTATGGCAAAGATAAATGAACTAAGTACTTCTTTTATTCAAATTTAAAAAAGTGTATTGTGGTATGAGTATGAAGATAACTATATAGTCTCGACTCTCATCGAACTATAATTAACTCCATAGTAACGGTCGTAGAGCATTTTATAGTCTCGAGCATAAATTAGTCTATAGACACGACTAAAAGGCAGTTTATAAGCACATTGTATAGTCATGGCTATATATCAGTACATAATCTGGCTTACAGATTGGCCTATAATCTTTAATATATCAGTCTATAGTTTCGAATAAGTCTAAAATCTCGATTACAGTTTGCACTCTACTATAGGTAAGTCGAAACTTTCTATCTTAGATAAGGTAATAGCCCAGACTGTAGAGGCTATTCTCGATTATAATTCATTTTATAATCTTTGCTTTAAAACATTCTATAGTCTCGACTGTAGATCAGTTTATAGTGTCGACTATACATCAGTATAAAGTCGCAACTATATATTTTTCTACAGTTTCGACTATACATCTGTATATATGCTAGACCATAGATTTGCCTATAGTCTCAAATATAGATGAGCCTTAAGTCTTCATTTTAGATAAGTTTATAGCCTCGATTGTAGAGATTATTTTCGTATATAATTCAGTCTATAGTCTCTGCTTTAGAACATGCTATAGTATCGACTGCATATCTGTTTATAGTGTCGACAATACATCAGTCTATAGTCTCGACTATATATCTGTCTATAGTCTCGACTTTAGATCTGTCTACAGACTCGATTATAGATCTGTTTATATTTATATATGTATATAACTTTGTATAGAGTCTCGACTCTCATCGAACTATAATTAACTCGTAGAGAAGTCTATAGTCTCGAGTATAAATTAGTCTATAGACACGACTAAAAGGCAGTTTATAAACACATTGTATAATCCTGGCTATATATCATTACATAATCTGGATTACAGATTTTCCTATAATCTTGAATATATATCAGTCTATAGTTGCGAATACAGATAAGTCTAATATCTCGATTGTAGTTTGCACTCTACTATGGGTAAGACAAAACTTTCTATCTTAGATAAGATAATAGCCCAGACTGTAGAGGCTATTCTCGATTATAATTCAGTTTATAATTTTTGCTTTAAAACATTCTATAGTCTCGACTGTAGATCAGTTTATAGTGTCGACTCTACATGAGTCTAAAGTCGCAACTATATATTTTTCTACAGTTTCGACTATACATCTGTATATATGCTAGACCATAGATCTGCCTATAGTCTCAAATATAGATGAGCCTTAAGTCTTCATTTTAGATAAGTTTATAGCCTCGATTGTAGAGATTACTTTCGACTATAATTTAGTCTATAGTCTCTGCTGTAGAACATGCTATAATATCGACTGCATATCTATTTATAGTGTCGACAATACATCAGTCTATAGTCTCGACTCTATATCTGTCTATAGTCTCGACTTTAGATCTGCCTACAGACTCGATTATAGATCTGTTTATATTTATATATGTATATAACTTTGTATATAGTCTCGACTCTCATCGAACTATAATTAACTCGTAGAGAAGTCTATAGTCTCGAGTATAAATTAGTCTATAGACACGACTAAAAGGCAGTTTATAAACACATTGTATAATCCTGGCTATATATCAGTACATAATCTGAATTACAGATTGCCCTATAATCTTGAATATATATCAGTTTATAGTTTCGAATACAGATAAGTCTAAAATCTCGATTGTAGTTTGCACTCTACTATAGGTAAGTCAAAGCTTTCAATTTTAGATAAGGTAATAGCCTTATCTAAGATAGATAAGATAATAGTAGAGGCTATTCTCGATTATAATTCAGTTTATAATCTTTGCTTTAGAACATTCTATAGTCTCGACTGTAGATCAATTTATAGTATAGTATCGACTATACATCAGCCTAAAGTCGCAACTACACATCTATCTACAGTTTCGACTATACATCTGTATATAGTTTAGACCCTAGATCTGTCTATAGTCTCAAATATAGATGAGCCTTAAGTAGCCATCTTAAATAAGATTATAGCCTCCATTATAGAGACTATTTTCGTCTTTAATTCAGTCTATAGTATCTGCTTTAGAACATTCTATAGTATCGACTGCAGATCAGTTTAAAGTCTCGACTATACATCTGTCTATAGTCTCGAAAATAGATCTTCCTACAGACTCGACTATAGATCTGTTTATAGTCTCGACTAAAGTTTTGAATAGTTGAGTCTAAAGTGTCGACTATATGTGAGTCTAAAGACTTTACTGTGGATAAGTTTATAGTAGATTATACATTTTTCTATAAAATCGAATACAGTTTATAGTCTCGAATATAGATCATACCATAATCTCGGCTAAGTATCAGCCTATTATATACATACATATGTCCATAGTTTTGAAATAAAATTAGCCTACAGCTTCTAGTATCTCAATTATGTATCTGAAGTCGTAGTATAAGGTACCTTAATTTCGAACATCACCTCCTGTAGTTAACACTCTTTATACAACATCATCTATTTATTTCCCTTTTAAACATTATTCTCATGAATCCATATTTTACAATATGAATAACATGGGCAAATTGTATGGTAACCAATATACTCTCTTTACCATTAGAGCGGTAAATTAAAAAAGTACAAAAAAAGAAACAAATAACGAGAAAAACTTATTTTTAACAATAAATAGCAGTTTAGACACAGAAAGAGATAAATGTGAAAAGTATGCAATAAAAAATTTATATACTCGCTATTACTTACTTTGCAAATACAAAACGAATTTATAAAAAAACAAAACTTAAATAAATAAATTCATTTGAAATGACTACTATATTTATCAAGTGGTCATGTTTATTTAAACATTTGTTTTTTTTATAACTTGTATTGCTACAAAATTTCTATATATATATGTTTTTCGGTTTTGGTTTTATGTAACTGTTACATACATATACAATTTTTTATAGAAATTTGTATTATCTGTTAACTGCTGTGGCATTTAAAATGAATGTTTATAAATAAATAATCTATTAATATTGTATATGTCAGTTTTTATTCATGGGAGATTATATTGCAATTTATACAAAAACTGGCATAAAAAATACTTACACTAAAGGATGTGGTGATTCAGTTAGATTACAAGTTTACCACGGTGATCATATAAAAATTCATAGTAATTTGTTGAAAAAGCCGAGCACGCAACTACCATGAAATAGAAAATATTTTATTAATGACCTAATGTGAAAGAATTTTCTATACTCCGGTCAAGACAAGGCTCTAATCTATAGTTGAGAATACATCGAGTCTATAGGCTGATTTTTTAGAGACTAGCATACCCTGGGTGCTTCGCTGCCCTAACCAAAATTAAATACGTACCAAATTTTTGTTTACTTTTATAGAAAATTAAAATTGATTAAACATTTTTTTAATGTTTCAGTTTTTCACGTTCAATATCACGTGAATAAATACGCATTCAGCAAGGAGCTTGTTTTTTTAGTTTCATTCGTTTAGCTTCCACATTATAGAAAATTTCGTAAGTACTATTTGAAAAAAAAGTACTATAAAATACCTCCTATAGATTCTCATTTAATCAAAAATTTTATGTTTCTGTGTTCAATATTATATACAATTCAAAAAAATATAATTTGATGAATGAAAAAGTACCAAAAGTCCCTTTCAGTAGATTCTCATTCACTAAGGTCCCTACATTTAAAATTTTATATTTCTATGTTCAATATTGTAAAAATATCAAAAAGTTCCAAAAAATGAAAAAGTACAAAAACCTCTCTCAATAAATTCTTATTATTAATAAGGACCGTGTGTCATGTGTTCCGTTATAGAAAACCAATAGGTACCATTTGAAGAATGGAAAAGTACCAAAGGGTTCCCACTTACAAAATATTACTCAGTCAAGACCATGTATGTTAAAATTTACGTTCCTAGGTTGAATATTTTAGAAAATTCAAAAAGTACCATTTATGAGTGAAAAGTACTAAAAAGTACTCTCTTAAAGAATCTTATTCAATGTGGACCGTGTATGTTTAATAATCATGTGTTTTGAATTCATATTATAGAACATACAAAGAGTATCATTTGAAGAAAAAAAAGTACCAAAAGTGGAATAAATTCTATCTAATTCTAAAATAGTACAATTTTTCCCCTTTTCGCTTAAAAATATACTTTTTTGAGAATTAAGCTTACAAAATGTTCCGTATTTAAATCTCTATATCACAGATAAAACTCAAACGATTCAAATCTGCATTCTTTTCTTCTAGGCCTTAGTACTCAAATTCCAAAATTATATTCCAATAGCTATTGTGTGTGAGTAAATAAACTACATTTTCAAATTTTATAAAAATTGACTCAGTGATTTTGAATAAAATTAAATTTCCCGTTTTT